CGATGTGAGAAAGACACATCGCTATGTCCGACGCTTTAGCAGAACTCAAAGTCCAGTCATTTTGTGCAAAAAAGAGCCCTGACCCGGACAAAATTCCGAACAGTACCAAATTTTGGGGATCGTTACCCGTCCAGGAAGGCGGCCGTATAGGCCGCCATTGGCCGGCCGGTCGGGCTGGTTGGCATTCCCCCCGACGATATTTATTTATTTTTCCCGCTGCGCACTCCCAGAGGTTCCCTCAGAAGGTCAAAAAGATATGTGTACTATACGAGTACACGAATGAGACTGCACTCGCTCCACGCGGGGCTCTACACCAGACGCGGTGGCAAGGGGCGCGTCAAAATAAGAGGTGCACGTAAGCCGGCCGGCCAGCCAGCCTGCCGTACGACAGCCTGAGCAAAAGTAGCAGGAACCGCGAACCCACACAGTTTGGCGGTGACAGCAGTGCAGGTGGGCACGGTTGAGTCCTTAAGGAACCACTATCTCTATCTATTCTCTTTTTTGCCGAAGAGTTCGTAGTGCGTGTGAAGCATGCAGACTCAGAGCTAGAGCGCTTAACTGCAACCTTCTGCCGAATAGGTCCGCAGGTATTTGAGTAGTACTTGTGAATTATTTTATTGTTCATCACTCTTGAACTTGACCCCGCGGCTAGATAAGAACAGTTACAATTATTACATTTCAGAAATCGTTCAATGTGTTTCATTCAATTTATTTCATCCATAATGTTCTTTTCATGATGCCCAACAGTGAAAACACACACACAAAAATCATTCGTCCTTTAAGCGGTTCTGATCGCTGAGATCGGTTCTAGCCGCTTTGGTTATTTGCCGCAAATGATCGATTCGCAGAGTCCTCGACCTTTGCGATCGATGGGCTCCGCTTCGGTCATAAGGTCTTGGGTGATCTTGGCGCTGTCAAACTGGAAGGCAAACTGGCCGATCTCGACCAGCTTGTCCGTGTTCTTGCTGTCTAGCAGGTGCGACTCGTCGAGCACGAGCACCGAAGGCACAGAGTCAGCGTACTTCTGCAGAGGAAATAAACAGTTTAGAGTTTTGTTGGCCTAGGCAGCCCCGTGTGCAGTGTTTACCGAAAGCTCTGCCTACCTCGTAGAGGTTTTCTTTTTGGCCGCGTGCCTCGAAGATGTGGATGGGCAGCGCCAACTCGGCCACCCCCAGGTAGCGCGCCGCGCTACGGTAAAGGAACGCCTTGTCATGGCCGCCCATCAGGAATTTCTTTAGGAAGGCGAACTCTTCGAACTGGTAGATAGATTTCAGTCCCCTGCAAAGAAGTCCAGCGTGTAAGCCGTGCATGAGTAGTACTGGTTCTTTTTGTCACTGGTCAAGCAAAGGAAGGATATCCACCCTCACTTAGTTCTTTTTGTTTCATGAAAATGCAAATTGTCATAAAAAATTAACGTACTCCTGTAGGAAGATGGAGACAAGTTCTTCTTTGTCGGTGCTCTTGTACGAAATGATCATGGGCTGCTCAAGGAGGCCCTTTACGCCGGTTTTCTCCTGGGGAAGGTAGAACTCTTCAACTGTCTTCGGGGCTCCTACAAAAA